CCTACACTACACACTATACATGTCTACTGTACCCAGGCGTTAAAGGCATAGCGCACACTTCCCCCGCTTCCAGCTGCAGCAAGCCCCGGGCTCCAGCTTCCCCGGGAACCTGCCAGCGTGCCTCTTGCTTCTGCTCCGCTCTGCACCGCTCCACCAGAAGCAGCAGCAGCAGCTCGCTCGCTGCCTTGCCCGGGGGAGGGGGGCTGCAGTGCTACTGCTCGGCCAGCCCTCCCAATCCCCGATCCCTGCCTGCTCTCAGCGCATTACTGGGTAACGCAGTCAGGAGCCGTTTGCATGCAGGGCTCCCGAGCGGCTATAGGCTATACAGGATGTGCTTAAGCAAACAAAACTACTTTTCCACATTTCTGACTCTCCCGCTCCCCCACACACACCGGCTCCCCTCCCCCACCGGCTCCCCCCCCCCACTTTTTTTCAAAGACCTTCAAGGAGATCGCCATAAAGACTTTTGGCTAAACTTCCATTATTAATCGCACGCAAAAAGATCTTGACCAGAAGCTTTCCAAAAAATTACAGTAGCAACATCCCAAAAAGTATATAGATTGCAGCTCCACTTATACACCGCCAAAGACATTCCGGGGCCCTTTTTGTTTTGTTTTGCTCTGCTTTATAAGCACATTTCTGCAGCCTGCATGAGAATCCATTATACCTTCTTCAATTCTGAAACTTCATTATTATTTTCCAGGAAGCCCATTCCTAACTCATCAGAATCCCCCCCTTTCCATATTATTTTCTTTAAGTACTAAGGCTATTAATGCTTTAATCTCCTGATAATTATTCATAAAACTGTACATCATAGATATACAACTTCTTTTCATGCTCTGGTATGGCCTTTTCACATTTTTTACTCTTTACCAGAGCATGATTTACAGGAGTTGAAGACACTTGTTCAGACTTTTCCATCTATCTTAAACACTTGGTATATGTAGGCAAGGATGCATATTTTGCTAAAAATGCACTGCTTCGTGGCTGTGTTACACCCCTCAAGCAATACAATCACTACTTAAAAGTGCTCTAACTTAGAACTGAGTCTCCTGTCCTTTATTTATCTTATAATGCATTGTTTTGGCACAAGAAAATGTCTGGTTTTTGGGGTTTGGAAAGTTGCCAGTCAGTCAACTTTTTCTTGGATTTTCGCTCTCTAAATTGCCTGGTTTTCCTTCAGTTTCCCAATAAGATGCAGCCTTCAAGACACACATCCACAACCATTCATAAAACACACACACACACCTCTGAAGAGGAAGAGAATACCACAAGACATACCACACACTGCATGCAAATCTTCCGGGGAAGAGAGATTTAGGTGTTCCAGAGTCAAGAATGTTAGGAGGCCATTTAAAGCACTGAGGAGATTTCTTGAAGCAAACAGCTATTCAACACAGGAGGCCTCAGCAACTATGTCACCTTTAGCCTTGTACTCTGGAGAGTCTTCCTTTTCCCAAGAGTGTCTCACTTACATTGTAGGACAAAGTTTGAGTCCAGTGACACCTTTAAGACCAACAAAGTTTTATTCTGGTATACTGGACTCAAACTTTGTTCTGCTGCTTCAGATCAACCTGAATGTCACTAACATTGTGTCATTTATCGACTGCAAATGACATCAGTGCGAAACAACTGAGTTTTCATTCAGCCTTTTCCCTTCAAAATCAGAACACTTGCCTAGTACCTGTCAATGAAATAATTACATGGAAACACATCCAACTAAATATTATCTGGGATCGCCCAACTTTCCTCGACAGAATTTTTTGGCTGACAGTCTCACAGAAAAGCAAAGAATGCTAAGAAAAACAACTGAGTCTATCCCTTCATTTTAAAATACATAGTTCCTTGTTTATGACTTTTCACTTGTTTCCTAGTAACTCCTTTTGGGCCAAAAAAATAAAGTTATCCCCTTCACTGCTGTGTATTCCATTTTTAAACACAGGGCTGATTCCTCACGTTGCTGGGCACAGTGGCCATAGTGCATGTGGCTGCTCCCAGGGCAGCCAGCCATGACATTTGCTGCTATGTACAAGGCTTGGCATGTATCTATAACCACAGATACTCAAAAAGTGGCATTTGTGGTGAGATGCTGGAAGTGGAATTCTGCACATCCTAGTGAATGTACAAGGCTGGCCCTGAGAATCCCAGTAGTGCCCTGTCTAATGACTGATGGTGTAAGTGTTATTTTACTGTACCAATATGACAGTGGAACACTAGGACATTCTTTTAAGGCAAGCTTTAAATACATTTAAAATAAAACCAGTTAAGGTTTTCTTCTGTGGAATGTTCCATTTTGATCCTTAAAAAAACACACTCACACATTCTGTCAGGTGAAGAAGATTTTCTTCATACACTGAAGGGGAGAGAGGGATTCGCCAGTGAGGCAGGATCGAGCCCTTGGCTGTGCTCTTTCTGCTGGCAGTCAGCGTTGCTCTACGATTTCCAGCTCTTTGTGGTTAGCAATATTATCTTAAGTAACTTTTGGCGCCCTTCGTAAGACTTTTGGACGTGGGATGATTGTTTGCGCCCTCTAGGCAGACTTTGCATCCAAGTTCAGCACCGAGCCGTTTACATCCGCTGACTCCTCGCCTCCCCCTCTCCCTCCAGCAAAACCTACGGGGGGGGGGAGCGCTCTCTACTCCCGCTGTCATACAACACACACACACACGCAAACACACACTCCTCTTTGTAGGTAGAGAAAATCGCGAAGGGAGAAAGCCTGGACGGAATAAAAACTTAATCTTAACTCCTTTTGCCTCACGTAGGCAGCAAGTTTGCTTCAAAGCACAGGGAAAATGTTTCCGCAGGAAGATTCCAGCACAGCGGATGGAAGTCTGCAAGTACATTCTCCATCCTGAGTGTATAAGGAGATGTTATTAAAAAAGCCTGGGGAGGGAGGGAGACATACACTTAAAGGAGATCGCTTCATTAAAAACACAGCAGACAAAGATCTGACTCAAGCCAACCTGTCTATTGGAAATGGGAACTTCGAAAAAAAGTGCCATAGGCTGCTACCATGAAATGGTATATGTCTGAGCGCAAAGACTTTCTGCCATGATCCCTCTATCCATATTCTACCTGGCACGTTGCCCGGCATTGCATTTACAGTGTTTTATTTGCAGAAACTTTTACCTCGCCAGCCTCAGTGAAATCCTCTTAGATATATAAATTACGTCGAGCAGGGTTCACTTATACGGACCATCTTGAATATATATCAGGAGAGACTTAACGGGAAATCGCATTAATATGATTTAAAAACTTTTTAGGCTGGGATCTTTAAACCACTTCCTCGGGATTAGTTCCGTCGCTTGAAAGCGGGGCTATTCCCGAGCAGAACTACCCCATGAAGTGTTCAGTGAATGAACAAGGAACACAAGTTTTCAGTTCAGAGCCACAGCCACCCCCCATGCCCTGCCACCCGCAGTAATTTCCTCAACTTTAAAGCAACTGTTTTTTTTCTCTGGATGTTCGGGAAGGGGGGGTGGGGACGAATGCCGATGCTTCGTGTTTAAGGTGAGGTCTGGCTACAAACCGACTAAAACCAGATCCTCCTCTCTTGTCTCTGGGGCAAGGCATGTTTGGGCTTCAGCACTCAACGAGAAGGCTTCCAAACACCCTCTTTAGGAAAGAGGCGTAGGAATTCTGGCAGAATGGGTTCCAAGTCTCCATCCCATCACTAGCAAGTTTCAAACGGGACTCCTGTATGGCCTAAGGCTGAGGCTAGCTTTTCTAAGGACTACTAGTAACTAGACATGGGGCTCTGGTAGCTTGTACGGGGCTTGCTTCATAGGAGTTTTTGATAGTGGCCAGACTCCCTATCAGTAGATCTCCCACGTTCCGGCAAGGTAGGACCAGAAGCAGGGGGCATTTCTCCCCTTACACACACAACACCCCACTCAGAAACACGCATGTACATATCCCTCACCAGCCTGTTTATGGTGTGCCTAACTTCGTCGACTTAATCAGGTTTTATAATATATAGCCAAAGTTAAACACAGAACAGGTTCTAATAACACCTGTGATGGACGTCCCGCAGAATTCGAAAGAGCTTAACTTTGGCTGGACCGTACTTTTTTAAAGTTGGGGGAGGGGACCCAGACTCCATACTGCCCTCCAGACATATACCTATATGATAGTAACCGCCTGGGTAAGCGGTTAAACCGGGGGGGGGGGGAAGGGGGGGTTATGTTTCTATCTGGGATCGTATACAAAAGTCTTCGAGACGCAGTTCGTCCAAAACACTTTTTAGGCTGCAGTCCTAAATGTCCTTACTTGGAAACAAGAGCCACTGAAACCAGAGGGACATACTTTTCAGTAAATATGACGATGCTGGGGGAGGGAAGGGGAAATAACTCAGCATCCCCGAAGAACTTGAACTCCTCGAGGCTCCACACACTAGAAACATACAAACGCGGGACCAAAACAGACCACATTCTAAACATCTCGCTATGTGATAACTTAGCCAACCCATAAGAAATAGGACGGGCAGAAGTGGGGAGGGGAGGGAAGGGCTTACTGATGCCCCCTCCCTCATGAGAAATTCTGACCATTCACACCAAACGGGCAACGCTTTTGCAGTCATTCCGCCTTTTTAAGTGAGAGTACAAATGCGAACGTTCAACAAAATCAACCGAGCCAAACACTTGCACTGCCAGGGGAATCCCTGCCGTTTATTGCTTATCCTTTCTTTAAAATCCAAGCCTCACCCCCACCCCCGGTTTGACAGCTCCTAACTGTTCCGCTGTGCGCCGAGCACACAGAGAACTTCGGGACTGAGGGAGGGAGAAATCAAACTTACTCGTCTCTTTCCCCCTCCTCCTACTCGGGTTATTTCGAGCAGTACAACATGCAGCCTGCTCTCTCATTGGACAGCACTCTAGTCCATCATAGAGCTTTGCTACATTGATTAGAGAATGGGTTTGTCAATTACATTC